ATGGGACCATGCAGGGCCAGCCACCAGCAAGGCAAAAGCACCTTAGCCCCTAAATTATTTCCCCAACCCCAGGAGAGATGGATCTTGAGGTTATTTTGTTAAGTGGAATACATGAAGGACAATTACCAGATGGTTTTACTCACATCAATATAAACTACTAAAGCAAATAAACTGACAAGAAAAAACAAAACTAACTCTTAGACTTGGTGAAAACTAGAGTGGTTCCCAGTGGGAAGGAGTAGGCGGGTAGAGGAGTGAGTTAGATGGCTCTTTTTCACGATGAGAGTAATATTATGCACAGATAGGCCTGTGGAACTAAACCTCTGAAATTCTAGTATACTAAAAACCAGTGATAAGTCAGTGATAAAAAGCATGGAAGGGGGTGTAAATAATTTTAGAAGACTTCATTGAGCTTAAACTCAGATTTTACATGTGTATTTTAGAACATAATTTTATAGGCCTGGTCATTCCTATAAAAATAAAACAACTGTCAAAATAGTGTCTGTTTTCTTATCCAAGTTGTTTCTGTTTTCCCATAAACAAAAGGAATTGGCTAAAGATGGGCAAAGTTCTCCATCTTTCTAAATTAATCCTCTGGGCCCAGGGATCCAGCTCAGCATTAGAGTGTTGGAGTGTTTTCCTTGCATATATGGGGTCCTGGGTTTGATCCCCAGCAACACACACACACACACACACACACACACACACACACACACACTAGTTTATTGGGATGTACACTGGTGTCTATTAAAAAAAATGCAAACAAGAGCTTATCACTTTTTTTTGTTTCCCTAGATCTATCAATTATTATGTAGATTTAGCACTGTTTTGCTTCAGTGAAAACTCACTATTGAGAAGCTGAGGGAATTTATCCTACTTCCAATAAATTCTATTAAGTCACTACAGAGTATTGGCAGAGAGCACCTATTTAGGAGTCGAGCATCTGGACTCCACTGATTATTAGCCTTGTAACCAGGACCAAGTTACCAAACCACTGGAGATATAGTCTTGTTTGTAAAATAAGAAAAATAACAAATCATATTAAAGTAAGGAATAAGTGACATGAATACTTAATACAGTTATTTCATTATATGTGAGCGATAGCACAGCAGTAAGGCGTTTGCCTTACAAGCGGCCAACATGGCTGACCCGAGTTGGATTCCTCCGCCCCTCTTGGAGAGCCCGGCAAGCTACCAAGAGTATCTCGCCCACACGGCAGAGCCTGGCAAGCTCCCCGTGACGTATTCGAGATGCCAAACACAGTAACAACAAGTCTCATGATGGAGACGTTACCGGGCCCGCTTGAGCAAATCGATGAACAACGGGAGGACTGTGATGTATGTATGCAATTTAAATATATGTGTGTGAACCTATTATGTCACAGTTTCTTTTGTTTTGGATTTTTTTTTGAGTGAGGGCATACCCAGCAATGTTCATGGGTTACTACTCATGGCTCTGCATTCAGGAATCACTCCTGGTTCTGCTCAGAGAACCATGTGGAATGCTGGGGATAGAACTCAAGTCTGTCAAGTATAAGACTAGTCTTACCTGCCATACTATATCTCGGACCAGTCACATTTTTTTTCCAACATGGATTATTTCTGATTCTCATAGTCACTGGGGGTTGGAGCAGGGGTAAAAGCATCCCCATTTTACAATTGGAGAAACAGTGTCCAGAGAAATGAAAGGGCAAGCCTGAGGTATCTAGCACACAGAGAGACTAGGCAGGAAAGTAAAAACCAAATACAGAAAAACCTGTATTCTTTCTACCAGGCCAGCTGGGACACTGGGACTTCTCTGGCAGGGTGTACCCCCACTCCCGGCCCCCACCTCACTGGGGATAAAGAAAGAAGGCAAAGCTACTCAGGAGGTCTCCAAACCTCACAGTGTAGCACAAACCTCCAATTATGCTTGAAGTTGGACCAGCTTTTGAAATCTCTACTGGACATTCTTTCCCTTCCCAAGTTCCTTGAAATTTCACTTGAAAAAGCATCTAGGAAGAGCCGCACTCATTAGCAAAGGACTGGCTTCATTTTCCTAATAAACAGACATTTGGTCAGACAAAAGAACCTCTATTTTCAATCAATTCTTCAGCATTTCAGCTGATTTTCTTCTCTTTGGCTTGAAATTGTGATCTGGGAATGGCTGTTCCTTCAAATTGTCCTCCTATAGGGAATGCCCCTTGAGGATCCTCACTTGTTATTTTTAATCACTGTAATCTCCTTTTCAAAGGAGGCCATGGTCAGAAACAGAGCCGGCCTTTCAGGGCTTTCTAAAGTACAATTATTGCAGAAGGAGAGGGTTGGGGGTGGGGTGGGGGAAGTGGAGAGAAGTGGTGGGAGAGAGGAGGAAGTCAAAATAGGACTAACAACTTGGAAAAGACTGAATAGCAATCTCAATTGGATCCTGGCTATGAAGAAGAAGCCCCATGTTTCATTATAGTCTTTTCATAGCGACCATTTTCTTCCAGCTAGTACATCTCAAGCTTATGGGGGTGGGGGTGGGGGTGGGGTGGGTGGTATTAAGAGCAGAATTTTAGGGATGGAGAGGATGAAATGTGATACTGGGAAACAGATTTGAGTCAAGAAAACAATCCACTGATTCTGAGGATTATGAGGGGTTTGAAATCAGGGACAAATCAAATAAAATACAAGGAAATGTTAGCCCTAAATCAATATGCAATATAAAATGCATTCAATTTGTGTGTGACATAATTATCGTAAGAAAATACGCAGAAAAATGCTAGCCCAGCCTCCTTTGACCATAAGGGAAAGAGAGGAAACCTCGAAGGACACTTTTCTAGCCCGGAGACTAGTTTTATTCACTAGCCTTCAGTTAAGAACAGTCTTAGGCTGCTACTAAGGAAAATCGATCATTCATTCCTTTAACTAATCTCTGAGAACCCAAATAAACACCATTCCCTGAGAGAAGACAGGACTGGAACTGAGCTGAGAAAACCCAACTCCTACACACATGCACACACCCCAAAAGCCAATCTCAGCCAACACATCTCTTCTTTATCAAACCAGCAAGGGTCTCCTATTCAATGCAGGAGGACAGCACCTAAGAACCCTAGCGTTCAGCTACATTCTCTTAGTCAGCTCATTACTCCCTACCACCACAAACAGCTCTTTTCCCTGGGCCCAGGGAGGGCGCAGGACTTAGGAAAGCAAAGGACTTGCACAAGGTGGCAGGGCTACCAACGCCAAATCCTTCTGACTCCAGAGCCTTCCTGAAGCTGGAGTTATCTCCCCTGGAGCCCAAACTGCCCCTTTGGGGAGGATTGCAGTGCACAAGTGGGGTTCCCATCCGCGCCATCCCATCCACGCTGGCCCTCCCCTCCCTGAGAGGCTACGGCCCCAGGTCAGTTTGGTTCCCTCCGTACTTGCGCCAACCCACCCGCTTCGTCTCGGGAGCCCACTGGCCGCTCTCTGCCTAGTGACGCTGAGCGCTAAATCTGGAAGGTCCCGCCGACCTATGCTTCGGGGTGGGGATCAGCACCTGACCAAGCGCCCAACGCGTCGGGCCTTTTCCTGGGCGCTTGCAAGTGAGCAGATCTGGGGAGACACGGGCTCGGGAAAATGCGTGAAGCATCCAGAGAAGGGTGATCCCAACTTCCGACCACCTGCGCGGCCCGGACATCCGCGGGCAGAGCCCCAAAGTTTCTTCAAGTGTTCCTCCCGCTACCGCCTCCAGGGGCATCCCGGGACCTCCGGGGGCGGGGGATGGGGCGGAGGATGGCGGTTGAGTCCCATTTGTCCCACCAGGTGCCCCCAAATTCCCTATTCCCATCTGGGCACCAAACTGACTTACGGAGGAACACGCGCCTTGCCCTATTCACTTGCCGCCTGCGGGGCGGTAGGTGAGGCCAGGCTCCAGTCTCTGCCCCAGCCTAACTCGGAATCTGCATGGGAGGAAAACAGGAGTTGGGCGGGAGAGGAGCTAGCTGCAGAGCGAGAGTAGCGGGGATGGAGATGGAGTCCGGGGGTCTCCAGGTCTGCGGTTCCCTCTGCCTATCCTGTGAACATCCCCTTTCTATGCTCCCCAGAACCCGCTCGCGGCTGCCGTTGGAGGTGCCACGTCCTCGGAGCTGCTGAAGCCACCGTCCTCCAGGGAGGTTGTGCTCCCCTGGCCTCCAGGGAGCAGGCCTTGGGCATCCAGGCTCCGCGCGCTCTTCGTAGTGAGGGGATTCCCCCACCGCACTCCCCACCCTTACCTCTCTTCCCCGAGCTCTTTGAACCTGGGACCCAGCCTTAGCTATCCTGGTTCTTTTTCCTCACCTGGGACCCGCAAAGAATAATTTGGAGTTCTTTCCAGACACCTTTAAGAAGCGCACCTGGCTCTGCCTCCCCTCCTCCCGGTGCCAAGGTAAAAGGGAGAAACCCCCGAGTCCCCTCTAAACGCTTCTGTCCAGGGAAATTGGAGTGACCGAGCTGCTGAAGGTGGTTCTGCTAGAAGCTGGTCCCCACCAAGCCCCCGCAACCCTCCAGGGCTGGGAACCAGGAAACCGGAGTCACCGTCTCCTAGAACCTAGCTGGGGAAGCCAGGATCCCCACATACACCACACACACACACACACACACACACACACACACACACACACACACACACACACACACACACCACTTATCACCACCACCTCCCGGGAGGAAGATAGGGAGAAAGGCGGGTCTCCCCGGGTCTCCTGGAACGCGCCGAGAGCGAACCCGTCAAGCCGGGGTGGCGCGCCGCGGCACCCGCGCCGGGAATCCGCGCGTCCTAGAGACGGGCAGCCTCGCCTGGCAGCGGCCGCCGCGACGACCCAGGACGCCTGGCTGGGGATCCGCGCGGAGCTCGCGGCCAAAGGGGTTGCGGGGCAAGTCGGGACAGCGGGGCCCTGAGCTGGCTGCACCCGCACCGTGCGCCCCGGGGACCGTGCGCCCTCCTCCGGCAACGGCGCGGGCGGCGCCCCCCGGGGTCCGGGTCCCGCGCCACCCCCATGCCGCGCGGGGCTAACTTACCGCGGTAGCTGGTTCCCGGTTTGTAGAATTCGGGGTCGCCCTCCACGCGAAGGCTGAACTCGGTGTAGCCCTCGCGCCGCGTGCCCTGGGCGCGCAGGATGCGGCTGCAGTAGCCTTCCGACTTGGCCACTTTGTCCAGGGTCTCGTCGGAGAAGGCCAGCGCGGCGGCCAGGGGCAACGCCAGGGCCAGCAGCGCCGGACCCCGGACCCATCTCAGAGGCGCTGGGGGCAGCCCCATCCTCGCGTCTCCCCAACTTTGTGCTGCGGCCCGCCGCCCGCCCTGGCCACGCGCCTCCTGCCCGAAGGGGTCCCCGCGCGAGCGAGCCCTAACGGAGCGCGAAGCCGAGGACCCGGAGAGCGTGCCTGCCCGGCTGCTGCCGAGCCGCGCTGCGCCGAGCAGAACTGACGGAGCCCGAGCCGCGCGCGGAAGGGAGGGCGGCGGCGAGGGGGAGGGGGAGGGAGGGCTGATTTTGCCCAGATCCCCGAGCGCAGCGCTGTTTTGTTTCCGAGCTGGCGATTAACGGCGCGGTTGTGTTTATTTTGCAACGCTGGATTCCCAGGGCCTTGGCGAAGGCAATGACAGGGTACAGTGACCTGGCCCGGGCTCTGGCCCGCCACCCACCCGGAGTGCTGCCCCCTAGCCCCGTGCCCCGTGCCCCGTGAGGGAGGGCTGGGAGGAGGTGCGGGGCGCTCCAAGGAGGGAAAGACCAGAACTTTGGCTGCACACCTGCTCTGTGCCTAGCATCTCGCTGGGTAGTTTACTCCTCCTCTCTGTTCACCTTCTCCTCTCTCACGGCGGTGGGAGAACACTGCTCTTAGTTATTTCAAGGATGTAAACTGAGGATGGAGCCTAAACAGGCCAGGCGAGGGTCCATGCTCTGACCCCGCTGCTGCTCTTGCCAACGCCTTGATGGAACCGGTCAGACTGTAGAACCCGAGATGAAAGCGTCTCGTTCTTCTGTCAAACTTTTGGAGCTCCAGGAAAATCTTTTCTTAAAAAACAGAAGAAACCATTTTGATCAAATAGAAGTTTTATTCTGTGATAGTAATAGAATTGTTTACCGCGACATTGTCATAAAAATGAATTTGGTTGTGTTTGCAGAGAGGAAAGCCACCTCCAGCCCACCAGAGTCGTCACTCAGCCCTGGAAAGGACTTTTAAAAGCATCAGTGGAAAGTATGTCTTTTCTGGGCTTGTCCTGTAATTTCTGCCCTAGATCACCAATGCCAAGTGTTTGGAAAAGTTTGGGGAGGGACTCACTGTGCACCCTAATCGAGACCAGCCCAAGGCCAGATAAGAGACCACAGAGGTGAAGGAATCTCACATGGGAATAGGCCCTCAGGGGCCCTATCCAAATCAAAACAGTCAGCAGTGCACCTAGTCACACTGTGAGACTTGGAGCATTATTTATCTTGGAGGACTATGCCTACACACCTCGAATCTCTGTTCTTGGGCCAATACACGTTTCCTGAGGGGAAGTGTGCTAGAGTTTAATGAAGAGTCTCATTAAGCAAGAGGCCTGGACTCCAGGTTCCTCATACCTCAACCCACCCTCAACTTCCAGATTCAATGGGTGGGTGAGCTGGTCCTGATACCCCCATATCCACTTCACCTTGGGGACACCTTGAGGCTCTTGTTGTGATACCCCCCTGCCCCAGGGTGCACAAGTCTCCCTCTCCAGGGGCTCTTAAAAACTTTGGTTTATCTTTCCCCTTAGGTAGCAACAGATCTCAAGAGGCCCCACTTTGGAAGCACTCTCCTTCCATCCCCAGGTTAGGTTTTCCTCTTTGGTGTCATTAACGAACATCACAGAGGAGCTGTCAGCATGAGGTCTCCATTCCATTCCTCCTCTCTGCCCACTTACTCCTTCGTCCCTGTGTGAAGACTCCTTCTGCCACTCTCCACTAAGTGCCTCCTCTCAGGGGTCAGTGGAGAGTGGCCCTTTGCTGAAGCCAATTATGCTCTTCTCTCAGCCCTAACCCGCCATGACCTTCAGCAGCATCTGATCCAGTGGAACAGCCCTCCTTTACAGAGGGGACACTTAGGTGTGTGTCTCATTCTGAGAATTATGTCCAGGGTCACTGTGCTGGCTCAGAGCTGAGGCTGAACAGTTCCAGTCACCTGGCAAGATTTCATTTATCGTGGATCTGGGGCCAAAGCTGTGTGAACACTGGGAAACAGAGGGAAGCAAATTTTATCCACTCATTTACTCACTGGCTTATTCGTTCACTTTTTCACTTGTTCATTTATTTATTCATGTCAGAGGCTTATGTACTCGGTTCCTGGACCCAAGACACATACATTGTGAACCTTTTAGGTCTTACAATCCTGTGGGAAAGGCAAATCTTAAATGCAGGGTTAGATAAACCTGTACAAATTATAATTGTAATATGTGCTACAAAGGAAAATAAATGACTCCTGAGAATACACACAATTTTAACTCAAAGGACCAGAAACTGAAAATAGGAACTACACGTGTCTTTTGTCTTCACAGAGTTTATTGTATGTCCAATAGCCCTGCTATGTACTCTTAAATGTCTTTTCTTCTAAATCCATGTGCTCAACTATGCCATGGAGGTGGGAAGATGTCATGCAGGCAGGAACAAGAGAGGAATTTTTGTTTAACGTTATTCAGAAAGGGGGCTGGAGTGGTAGCACAGCTGTAGGGCATTTGTCTTGCACTCGGCCGTCCAAGCCAACCCCGGTTCAATTCCTCCGCCCCTCTCAAAGAGCCTGGCAAGCTATGGTTCAATTCCTCCGCCCCTCTCAGAGAGCCTGGCAAGCTACTGAGAATATCTCATCCACATGGCAAAGCCTGGCAAGCTCCCCATGACGTATTCGATATGCCAAACACAGGAACAACAAATCTCACAATGAAGACGTTACTGGGTCCGCTCAAGCAAATTGATGAACAACGGGAGGACAGTGCTACAGTTATCCAGAAAATCATGTGAGGTAGGAAGCTCCCTTTCTACTTCCTATTTTTCAGGTTTGGGCTTTATAAAATTATAAAATTGGGCTTTATAAAATTGTCTCGGCTCAAGGAAGAACAACTGGGATTCAGAACAGGCCTCCCCAACACCAAAATGAGGTCCCTCCCCTATAGAATGTGAACCCCTCATCTAGGCTGTGAAGGCTGTTTTTTCCAGCAGTCCCTCAAGCTATCCCTAACCCAGCTTTCCAGTCAGGTCAGACCTTTCCAGTCAGGTCACACACCCAATCCCAATCACCAAGTCATTACTTTCACCTCCCAGCTGCCTCTTCAATCTGTCCACTTGTCTCTCTCTCCTCTGCCATCACACCAGTGTAAGTTGTCATCATCTCTGGGCCTCCATATTGGGCTGCCCTCTAGTCTGTCTGAGGCTGCAAAGCCCAAGTGATCCTCTTTAAAATGCAGATCTGAATGTGAATCCTGAGGTGAAAACCCTTTTTCAGTGGCGTGTCAAGGCTCTCAGAATAAACACGAAATCTTTCCAGTGGTCTCCTGTTCAGCTGTCGCGGCCTGGAAATCAACTCCCTTCTCTCTCTTCCTGCCACCAGCCCTCCAGCCAACTCTCCCTCAGCTCTCCAAGCAGAGCTCCTCAGAGCTTGACGGAGCTTCCTGACCAAGCTCCTACCTACCTCTCTGTATCTGCTTTCTTGGCACTTGAGACCTTTCTAGTCTCAAGATGTACAATTGTCTAATCATCTGTCATATTATATGTTCTAATATTGTATTTGTTTACTGTCTACATCCAACTATCACTAGATTCTTAGTATCAGAAGGGAGGGAAGTGTCTCCGAGACACAACATGCTCTATGGCCCTCCGAGTACCTGGGTCTTAGTAAACCCCGCTTAATTACTTACCATAGAAACAAAAATACCTTCACAGTCTCCCAGTGTCCTCGGACTCAACCCCAGCTAAAAAGTGACCTTTAAGGCCCTCCTTAATCAAATCGCAGATTCCAGACTGAGGTGCCAGTACTGCCCCACTGAGGTTATTGTGCCTCAATTTTAGTCCTGTGTTAGGACGTTGCTTGTATCGTCCCCTCATCTAAAATGGCCTCCCCCTTCCTTCCCATTTCAGTTCTGCTTTCCTCTGTGAAATGAGATTCCCAAGTCTCTCTTCTAAGGTAGAATTTAGAGGAAAAAGTTTTTGATTTTGATGATTGTGTTCTCTTGGATGATCACAAACTATCTCTTGGGTCTGTGTCTCATCTCCTAGCAATGAATCCAGTTTACTTACTGTTTAATTTCCTGTTCAGATGTTTTGTTCAGTTATAAAATACACTGGACTTCAAGAAACCTTTTTCCAGTTTTGTAGCCTACGGAGGAGCTGATGTTCGTTGCTAGGGTGTTGCTAGGGAAAGTCACTTAGCCAGGGCAGATAATTAACTTTATCTGTGTGAGTGGGTAGGTCACAGAAGAGAAGAGCTTGGGGTGGGGGGGTGGGAGGGAGGAAGGGGTGAGATGGAAGGACGGGGGTGGGGAGGGGGAAACAAGTGGTTCTACTTCTCTAAGAGAAAAAAATATTCTTGATTGGTAAGAGGAGAAAGAAGTCTTTTTTTTTTAATACCTACCCCTTTGCAAGAAAAGGGAAGAAGAAATTTCTAGATTAGTGAGGTGTTTTTTATTTGCTTGTTTATTTTAAGTATGGTCATGGAAACATTAGATGCTTGCCTCAAGTATAGATTCTTAATCTCATCCCAGACCTAGTGGATCTTGACAAATTAAAATAAAATTTGGGAAACAACTCTTCCACAGCTTGTAGTTCCAACGGTGTCTAGAGTTTACTCTGATTTTTCCACATTTGGCTGGGTGGTCTTGGGAACTCACAGGACCTGTCTAAATTGCTTGTGTACAAAATTGGGAATTTTTGAGAAATAAATGAGTATATCTCTATAATGAGAAATAAATGAGACAATAATTTCTAAATATCCAGGTGACTTGCCAGAAAAATATTAGTGTGGCTTCTGTTAGCTTAGTATAAGAAATCAGAACTGTTATATCTTTGTTTCTCTAACTCACCGAGTTATACTCTGAGCTTCTGAGGGGGTGACTATCTAGACAAAGAGAATAGGCAGAGAGAGAAACTGAATTGCAATGAGCAAGCGATTTGAAATCAATCATGAGGAAAAGCCCAGAAGCTGTCTACCAGTGAGCCACTGGGTTTGGTGATTAAGTCATGTAAGATGAATATGATGAGTAAAACTTCTTAAAAGTCAAAAAACAAACTAAATTCATTAAGTGAAGAGATACTTACTCAGCACCTACTGTGTGAATTAGGCAGCAGCCCAATGGCGGGTAAATTGTACAGCCCGAGGAATTCCCAAGCTCACTCTATCCATCCGCTCTCCCCCAGGTCTGAGCTGCACCATTTCACTGATTCCTCCTTCACTTGGCATTCTTTCAAGAGTTTTCTTTCCTCAGTTCTTGGGAGCATT